CTGGTACTGTTGTCAGAGGTCCATACTTAGATGGATTGATGAGGTTTTGCTTGTAACAAGCTGCTGTCATTCCACTGGATCCATTGGTACGGAGACTAGCCAGAGCTATGCTAAAGGTAAAGATGGCCTGATCCCCAAACAAGACAACATCTCTAGGATCCTCTTCCTTACTGCCACATATAAGATCTTCTAAGTTTTGATACTGGGAAATTTGGTGTGGAGGAGTTCGTTTCTTGTCTACTGGATAATTTGCTAGATTTATTGTCATGATCTATCAGGAAAATTCACCTAATGCAAACAATTTGATAAGTCTGACCACACTAAAGCTACCAGTCCATCCCACTCAGTTTGTCCAATCAGATTGAAGCATGCACATGGCACTTTTCCGGCCCTCACATTAGTATTCCTATTATAGTACATGTAATGCTAGTAGTATTTTTGTTAATGCAGTTCAAATTATACATATACATTATACATTCAGTAAAGCAGAAAGTGTACCAAAAGAAACATCATCACATATAGATGATAATATAACTATTGGATTAATAATAATTACGAATAATGTTACTTTCATTAATCTTACACAGTTACTAACAAGATCAAGATGTACATGTACTTATTGTTACAATGAATGAATGTCTAAATTAAGATTCCTAGGCTGCTACTTCTTTTTGAATACAAACGTCTGGTGTTCACTGCCTGAATAAAATAAACCATGTCCATTGATATTATATCCATAGGAGACGAACTTATTGATAAATTTTCTGTCAACACCAAAAAAGTAATAATTAGGAAAAGTGTTGACAATGTTGTTATTAACATGTTGAGTTCTCACCAGCTGTCTTGGCTGTACAGTTAATCCATAATCAATAGTTGATCCACTACAAACTCCAAATAGAAGATAGTCACCACTTTCCTGCTTATCGTCCATTTCATTTATAACTTCTGATATTTTTGGCCCATTATTAGTCTGTGGATATTGGTACCAAACAACTTTCCCTTTCACCATTGAAGGAGGTGCAGGGGTCTTGAGCATATCATGAAGATTGCTCATGATTTCAAGTTCACTCAGACGCTGTGTCGACCCATTTGACTACATTGCTCAATCGATTGAAGCTTCTTCTCTTCAAATTTAAAAACATGACGTACTCCATAGCTTATCCCTTCCCATGAATTATTT